CAGCTCAAGTTCCCTAAAGAGACAGGCTGAGGGTGTGGTCCCCTGTGTGCTGGGCCCATCCTAATTGAATGGTCACAGCACAGAGATTTAAATCACAGTGTCACAGGGCAGAGATTTTTGGGGAGAAACCAAGGTGACTTTCTGCCACAGTGGTGGCCTAGCACTACTCTGAAGTGTTGTAGCCATATGACATTTTCCATTCCCTGCCAGCTGATGAACAAGGAATTATCAGGCAGAGTGGAGAGAGGGCATAATATGAACCTACATGTCTGCAAACAAGCCGTGTTTACATATATTACAAGTATATTGCCAAGTCAAAGGCCAGTAAATAACTGTTGCTGTCTTAAGTGCTGTATCCATCCTGAATATGCAGTATACACACAACTACTGTCTTCTGAATATTGGCTTGGGATATTGCCTGACTGTCAGAAACATTAGGTTGAATTGACTGACTCAGAAAAACCCTGCTCTCCAGTCTATGTGGGAATAAGGTTAAAATTGGTTTCACTTTGTCATTGTTTAGACTATGCCCAAGCTCATCAGTAAAAAAAAAAATGTGATCACTGAATGTTGTAACAGAAGGCATCCTCTAGAGTTGTAACACGAAACAGAATTGAACCCTTCTCCAACAGTCAGTTTGTTCAAAGGAGGAAATGGATTTCTGGTCAGCTGATAAATTGTACCCTGCCAAATTCATCACTTTTTTTTTCTAATTTGCTTTTTTTAAATGGCCAGGAGAGTTTTTGAAAAACCTAACTCGGGTTTCTAAGCAGTAGGGGTGCACTGATAAAGATTTTCTTGGTAGATACTGTTGGCTGATTATAAACCAGCCATATCGGCTGGTACTGATCCGATAGCTGATTTACAGAATGCAGAATTGGCTGGTAGCTGGCAGTGTCTGGCCAGTAAGTCTGTGGGTGGAAAAGGGTGTGGGTGATGGTAGGGGCATGGGGGGAAGATCGAGGCCTCCATGGTGAGGGAGGGAGTGGGGCGGGGGCTGGGGCAGGTGCTTCCTAGCCAGAGTGATGAACGTGTCCCCAGGCCTGGGACAGAGTCGTGGGTAGTTCATCCGGGAGGTGTGGAGGGTGGGGCTGGGCTGTCTCCCCACCATTGCACACACCCCTGGGGGAGGCATGGGGGGCATGTGCCTCCCCAGATGTGTACATGGCACATGAGGCTGCTTGCTGTGGGCATGGGGGGCATGTGGGCATGTGCCCCCCCTGGATTTGTGCACAGGGTGAGGGCAGGCTGCCCACTATGGGCTTGGGGCCATGGGCTGTGCCAGCCTCTTCCCGGCGGGGGGGGCTGGGCCGGGGCTGTGCTCCAAGCAGGTGGGAGTGGGCAGCAGTGGTGGCACTGGGAGGGGTGGCTACAGGGAATTTTGGGGTGGCTATAACCTCCCTATAGCCACCTCTCCTAGCACTGCCATCACTGCTGTACAGCAGTGGGGATCATCCCCCCTCTCCCCGCCACATCCCCAGATAAGTGACCTGCAGCTCTGTCCTGGCCCCCGGGTCACATTCACCACCCTGGCTGGGCAGTGCCTGCCTCTGCCCCA